TGCGTGGGGGTACTAAAGGTAGAACAGGTTTTTTTTTTTTTTTTTTTTTTTTTTTTTCACAGAGGCACATGTATGTGTGCCAAAGAGAGAAAGAGGCAGGGAGGAAGCACCCCCAACTGGGCCTTGTCACGCCACCATCCTTTTCTCTCCATTTCTCCGTCTTGTCAGGATCTGGGGAACACATGTACACATACCTGGCATATTGCCACCAGGGCTGGGATGCAGGCCATGTTGGCCCAGTGGGTCCAGCGCCCTCTGTACACTGTTTAACCACTGAGCTCTAGGCCGGACCTTAGCATAGGTTTTTAAAGGATTCAGTGGTATTGGTTTTGAGGTGACGTCATTTGGCCCTTTGTATTTTGCATACTAGTGAATTTACATTGATGAGCTACGATCTGTCTTGATTCAAAATTGTTTATTATTTTAAAGCTGTCAGGCCAGGTGGTGGCACAGTGGTAATGTAGCCAGACCCACATGGGAGAGGTCTTGGGTTCATGTCCTGGGACCCCTCTGAACACGCTGGGCTTGTGTATGTGTGTGTGGTAATGTGGGCCGGCCGAGACTAGGGGTGGATCATGGCATGAAGACCTTGTTAGAGCTGCCTGTCTCTGTCTCTTTTTATCTTGGTTTCCCTTTCATGAAGACATAAATAAACTTTAAAAAAAATAAGTCTGCCTCCCAAGGAAAAGTTTAGTCGTTCTTGGGGCTAGCAAATGGTATCAAAGTTAAGGTGGCTGGATCCTACGTGGCTGACTGCATCGTTTGAGTCCTGGACCCCAAGGCTTGAAAAACATGCCAGGTGTGTGTATGTGTGTGCCTGCCCAAGATCCTAAGAAAAAAATGGAAAAGGGATTGCAGCATGGCCATCCCCCCTGGGGGGGTGATTTCTCATTCTCTCTCTCTCTCTCTCTCTCTCTCTCTCTTTCTCCCTCTAGCAAGCACACATGCCCTATATCAAAGTAAAAAAAAAAATTGGTAGTTGGTAGTTCTCGGTTTCTATTGCAATGATGCACCAAAACATTTTTTAATCATTATTTTTCATTTTTATTTTATTATTAAGTTTTAAAAAATTTGCCATAGGACTCATGCACGTCACCAGAGAAAGAAAAAGAGAGAGGGAAAGTGAGAAAGCAAGCCTCCAGGTCTGGGACTCAGCAGTCCACCACCTGTGAGTCCAACGCCTTAACTACCACGCCACCTGCTGGCCCCCAGATACACCTAAACTTTTCACTCTGAGTCTTCAGCAAACTTTGACAAAGAGGAATTGCTCTTCGAGAGGAATCCTGTCTCCTCCTGCTGCAGGTAAGAAAGTGCTCATCGTCTACGCTCACCAAGAGCCCAAGTCTTTCAATGGGTCCTTGAAGAAAGTGGCCGTGGACGAGTTGAAGAAGCAGGGCTGCATAGTCACCGTGTCCGATTTATATGCCATGGACTTCGAGCCGAGGGCCACAAGGAAAGATATCACTGGTGAGTCACGGGCTGAGTGCTGCTGGAAAACAGAACAAAACTTTCTTCTTCGCATTTCTTAATTTTCAAAATGTCTTAAAAAGCTAATCATTGCTCAAAATATACAAGTGCAGGTTTAAAGAGTCTACAGTGCGAGTAGATCCCCACTCCTGTCCACTAGTTACCCAGTTCCTTGGCTTCGGGTAGCCAGCATTACCAGCTTCCTCTACATCCTTCCTGTGTAGTCGGTACTAGATAAAAATGACAAGGGTATTCTCCATTTCCCTCTGCCTTTTTTTTTTTTTAATTGTTTAATTTTGCTCATTGTCATTATTTCTTTTTTTTTTTTTCCTTCAAAGTTGACCAGAGAGAGAGACAATGAGAGAAAAGGAAAATGAGAAAGCAAGCTGCCAGGTCTGGGACTCGAACCATGGTCAGCCATATGGGAGTCCAGCTGCTTTAACCACCATGCTACCTACTGGCCCCACCCCTCTGCTTTTTACAAAAACAGGAGCACATTATACTCACTTATATTTGCACATTGCTTTGGTTTTTACTGTTGTGAAGTAGTCATTGTACAACGGTGCTATTTTCTTTTCTTTTCTTTTTTTTTTTTTGGAGAGATTTTCACTGTAGGGCGCGTGCACTCGCCAGACAGACAGAGACATAGAGACAGAAAGTGAGAAATCACCCCCCAGGGGGGATGGTCACGCCACAATCCCTTCTCCTCCATTCTCCTCTCGGGATCTTGGGTACGTATGCACACGCGCCCGGCGTGAGTTTTAAGCCACCGGGTCCAGGACACGAACCGCGGTCGACTATGTGGGAGTCCAGCGACATAGCCATTATGCTAACTGCTGGTTCCCGCGGTGCTATTTTCTAAAGAGCCCCTGTGGAAAAGGGCATTTTAGGCCACTCCTATTCTTTTGCTGTTATAAACAATGCTAGAAAATGCTGGAATAAATAATCATGGCTATATGTGTTTTTCTATACACAGAAGTGTAGTTTTTAAAAATATTTTTTGAGAGATTTTTGCATAGGCCACATGTATTCGCCAGAGAAACAGACAGAAAGCAAAAAATTACCCCCCCAGGGGGGTGGTCACAATGCAGTCCCTTCTCCTCCATTCTTCTCTCGGAATTTGGGGCACACATGCAACGTCTGGCATGAGGTTCAAGCTGCCAGGTCCGGGACTCGAACCACAGTCAGCCATGTGGAAGTCCAGCAATGTAGACATTATACCATCTGCTGGTCCCAGGTATGTGCATTTTTTTATTTTCATAGCTAGCATCAAGGTGCTTTCTATAAATGTGCCCATTCGTACTCCACCAGCGCTCTTCATTTCATATCACCAACAGTGTTAACGATTTGTTGAGAAGTGTCCATCTGACAGAGTTCTAATTTATCCTTTTCTCGTTTATGACTCATTTAGTACCATTTTTTTTTTTTTTGGAGAGGTTTTTGTTATGGGGTGCGTGCACTCGCCAGAAAGAGAGAGAGAGACAGGGAGACAGAAAGCGAGGAATCACCCCCCAAGGGGAATGGCCATGCCGCAATCCCTTCTCCATTCTCCTCTCGGGATCTTGGGCACGCATGCACACGCGCCTGGCGTGAGTTTAAGCCACCGGGTCCGGGACGCGTACCACGGTCGACTACGTGGGAGTCCAGTGACATAGCCATTACGCTAACTGCTGGTCCCAGTACCTTTTTTTTTTTTTTAAAGGAGGTTTTTGCTATAGAACATGTGTGCTTGCCAGAGAGAGACAGAGACAGTGAGAGGAAAAGTGATAAATCTCTCTCTCTCTCTCACACACACACACACACACACACACTGCAATCCCTTCTCCTCCATTCTCCTCTTGAGATCTTGGGCACGTGCGTACACTGCATGATTTTCCAGCCACTGGGTTTGGGACTCAAACCATAGTGGGCCACATGGTAGTCCAGCAATATAACTACTATGCCACCTGCTGACCCAAGGGTTAGTATCTTAATATTTTATATTGCACTTCTTTATATGATTGGTTTAATAAAATATTAAGTATTTTTCCTGTGAATTATTTGCTCATATCCCTGTTCATTTTTCTATTAGGTTGTTGGTCTTTTTCTTCCTGATTTTTAAGAGGTTTTGAATATCTTTATATTCAAAAATAAGCCAGTAGTGTGAGATACAAATTGCAAATATTTTTAACCTGATTTTTTAATTTTAATTGGGTTTTGCTTGTAGTTGTTTTTGTCGCAGGATTTTATTTGCTTTTACTTGGTCGATGTTTGATTTGTCTTTTTTTCTTTCCCCTGTGACCTTCTGATTTTATGTGATACTTATAAAAACTCTGAGATTTAAAAAGAAAAAGGTTTCTTCTAGTATTCGACAGGTTCCACTTTTTAAATTTAAATAGTTTATGTTTCCAATTTACTTTGGTGTATGATGTGAGGTAGGGGTCCGGTTCTTTTCCCAAGTACCTGCCTAGTTGTCTTCTCACTATTCATTACCTGATCCAGCTATTTGCCTCTAATTTAAAATGCCACCATCGCTGTGACCTAGATTCCCGTATGTTTGATTCTGTTCTGCTTTTCTGTTCTGTTTTTCTTCCTATTTATTCATGACCACATGGCTTTATTGGTTTTGGCAAATAATGTAATTTACTAATCCGATAAAGCTAGAACATCCTCGTTTCCTTTATTTTTGCTAGCTCTTCTTACCGAAATGAGCTTTCTGTATTCAAAAACCTGATGGGACTTTCATTAAGAACCTGTTAAATGAGGGACCATCAGGTGGCATGGTGGTTAAGGCCCTGGACTTCCCGCATGGCCTACCGCAGTTCAAGTCCCAGACCTGGTGGCTTAAAAGATCACACCGGCATGTGTGCGTGTGTGTGCATGCCCACAATCCCGACAGGAGAATGAGGAACCTGTTAAATTAATAGATGACCTTTTGTGGTGATGATTTTATTTATTTATTTTTAAATTTTCAGTGGACATGTGTGCTCACCAGAAACAGAAAGAGAGAGAGAGATTGAGAAAGCACCCTCTGTGATTGGGGCATGGTCTTGCCTCACTCTTTTTTCTTCCATTTCTCCATCCCACACGGTTTGGGGGCACACTCACACACACACGTGCATCATCTGGTATGTTTTTCAACCTCTGGGGCCAGGATTCAAACCCCCGTCAGCCATGACATATCCAGCTCCCTACGTACAGGGCTTAACCACTGCACTACAGCGCCAGCCCTCAAATCTTCCTACCCGAGAGAATGGTGTGGCTCGTCACTTGCTTATGACTTCTTTTATGACCCCGGTTTATTTAGAAGGTTTCGTCATACAGATTGCTTAATGCTAACTGCGTCCGCCCTGTGAGAGGGCTGTTCGGTGTGTGTCTGTGTGTGGGGCACTGCTCAATTTCTTACTGCTGCTTAGACTTTTCAGCTGATTGTCCGGGGCTTTCCAAATACACACTCGTCTTCCACACGTGATGGTAACTTCACCTCCTCTTTCCCCAGTTCCCTTGTTTGGAATTGTGCCAATCAGATCTCCAGAATCAACATTAAGTACCAGGCAAGAGCTGACATTCTCATTTTTTTTTTTTTTTTTAATAATAAATCAACCACCTATTTTCTCTTAATGAACAGCCGAGCAGGGACTAGAACAGAGAACGCAGAGATAAGCAGCCACTCATGTTGAAGTGAATAAAGTAACACGCACTTAAGGCAACGAATAGTTGTAAGTGGAGTGACCTCAGGGTGCGAAATCCAAGCCCCTGTTCACATATACTTCAGTCCTGCACCACCCAGAGGCTAGGAAGCTCGGCCTTTCAGTGCGGCTCACTGTAAATCTTGTCCTAAATGTCAGCAGAAGCACGTGTCTGTGAATCGTTCTGAAGCTCCCTAACTACAGACGTGAAGGGCCCGGAGGGGTCACAGTACTGCACAGTGAGGTGCCCAGACCCCGATAACCTCCCTGGTCCAGCAAAGCCTTGTACCCTCAGCACGTCCCCTCTTCCAGTTCCCTGAAAAGACAGGATTTTATACATAGAAGCACTCAGGGTGTACTTTTTGGGTGAAAAAGCAAATACAAGTAGGTTAAATAACAGGAAGCAAAGACCACACAAATTTTTTTTAAAAGAATTATTTATTTATTTAATTCGATTTGTTGTTATTGTAAATTTGACCAAAGAGAGAAGGGGAATGTGAGAAAGCAAACCACCAGGTCCGGGACTCAAACTGCAGTCAGCCATATGGGAGTCCAGTGCCTTTAACCACCACGTCACCTGCTGGCCCCAATGTTTTTGATCACAGATCTGTCAGAGGGCTGCTGGGCCAGTCCTCATCTTGGTGTTCCTTGATCGGCTTTGCAGACTCCTCTCTGGTTACAGTGTGGCATCGTGGACCGCACCTGAGCCTCGGGTGGTCCCACTTCTGTCACTCAAGTCCTGTGTAGCACTGAGCAACTCACCTCTCCCCTGTTAAGCCTCGTTTCCGCTCTGGTAGATTGGGTACTACCCAGGTCTCATGGGTAGTAAGACAGGGGACATGTGAGGGAACAGCACCTGCTGGGTAGGCAGTGCTCCGTGAGGGCCCCCAGGCCTTTCTCTGTCCGTGGCCCCATGGCCTGACTCCTGGTCAGGTCTCAGCAGATGTCTTTGACTTGCTTCGTGGGGTCCAGGTAGACCTGGAACTAAAGGGCTGGCCGGACAGGCTGTGGTCCTCACGGGGAATGAGAACATCTGGCTTCCTCCTACCCCCAGGTGCTCTCTCTAATCCTGAGGTCTTCAATTACGGGGTGGAAGCCTATGAAGCCTGCAAGAAGAGAAATCTGACCAGCGACATCATTGAGGAGCAGAAGAAGGTTCAGGAAGCTGATCTGGTGATATTTCAGGTACATCTTCCCTCTAATGTGTTGAGCCAGATTCAAATTACCTACAGACTGCAAATACTGAGTTCGGGCTACCAGAAGGGGTGTCAGTGTTTTTAGCACACTCGCACCCTTGTTGGGTATTACAGTGCTCATTCACACACTCTTCTTAGATGGAGAAAGATATACATACGTAGCTAATATTACTCACTCAAAATTCTGACCCCTGAGTAAATACAAGGGGATTTCAAAAAGTTTGTGGAAGAACGGAATTGAAGTACAAGTTTATCTTTTTTTTTTTTTTTGGAGAGATTTTTGCTATAGGATGCATGTTCTCACCAGAAAGACAGAGAGACAGAGAAACAGAAAGCAAGACATCACCCCCCCCAGGGGGTCTGGCCACGCCATAATCCCTTCTCCTCCATTCTCCTCTTGGGATCTTGGGCACGCAGGCACATGCACCCAGTGTGAGTTTAAGCCACGGGTCTGAGACTCGAACCACAGTTGACTACATGGGAGTCCAGCGACATAGCCATTATGCCAACTGCTGGTCCCAGGAGTTTATCTTGATGCAAAAAAAAAAAAAAAATTGAAATCTGGGCATAGTTTTTTTTATAACACATGCATTTCCTGTGAACTTTTTTTAAAAAACGGATTTTTGCTATAGGGTGCGTGCACTTGGTGGAGAGACAGAAAGACAGAGAGAAAGCAAGAAATCACCGCCTCCCCTGGGGGGAGGGGTCTGGCTACACCACATCCCTTCTCCTCCGTTCTCTTGGGATTTTGGGCACACACATGCACCCAGCTTGAGTTTAAGCTGCTAGGTCTGGGACTCGAACCATGGTCAACTATGTGGGAGCCCAGCGACATAACCATTATGCCATCTGCTGGCCCCACATTTTCTATGAAAATTTTAAAGACCACCAGGTCCAGCGGAAAAAGCCTTCGATCTTGTGTGTGGGGGGTCTTTAAAATTTTCATAGAAGATGTGTTCCCTTTGCTTTCATTTTCCTCTTGTCCCCACCCTAGACTGTTGGGGCCACTTGCCAACCCTCTACACAGGGTTTTTGGGTAATTCAGGCAGTTCTGACCTTAAGTAGCCTGGTTCATCGGGAGGAGCATCTGTTGCTTCCACCTGCCCCCGCCCTGCACCTTCCCTGTATTTGATCACAAACTGTCCCACTAAGGTGGTGCCACTGCAGAAAGAACCAGCCTCCAGGAGCGCCAGCCTCTAAGGCAGCCTCTGCACGCCAGCGGGTGTGCGCTCAGACCCGCGCCCGAGAGCCTGGCAGCGTAGTAAACTCACGTATCTGGGGAACTGTTGAGAAACTGAGAGAAACCCAAGTCAGACACGAGAGAAGTGGGAATTGACTACGAGGGCTCTGGCCACTTGGGTCTCCTGGGCCCCAAGGACAGCCGTGACTGAGCTTCAGGGACAGACACCGAGCGCCCGGGTACCTCTGCTCCCGTCCTCAGCTCCCATCTACTCCCACTGCACGCCAGGGACTGCATTCCCTGGACTGAGATCTTCCTAGCAAGGGATCAGTTGGTCATGTCATCTCTGTTTTCCAACCCTGCTTGGGGAGGGGAGTGGGTAAGAGAATGAGACCACTGTTCTCATAGTGGGTGCTAAGCACACCACAGAGGTGCAGGGAGGACTATGTGCCCACTTCCCAGGCTCAATAACACGTCCAAAATGGGAAGGTTCCCAGAGCCTTTATAGAAGAAGCCCACATGTGCAGGAAGAGGGTCCGCCTCAATCCTCCCCAGCTTGGCTCTGTGCATCCCTTCCTCACACCGTCTATTTCTTTCCTGGGCTGCTGCTGTGGTGACTGCAAGATGTCCTTCCATTCCTGGGTGGACCCAAGGCCTTAGACCAAGTGACTGTGGTTTATCATCCACACGTCAGTAATCATGCCAGGATGGATGGGCCTCTCAAGACTGTCCCAGCAGGAAAGCAGGGCCCGTGGTCCCAGCAGAGCCACGCCCCACTCTCGCTCTTCTTTGACTGCAGGGAGCTGCTCCTCCTTTCTCCCACCTCCCCCACTCTGGTACCTGGGGGGCCGGAGTAAGTGAAGGCCTGTCTTTCTAAAATAATCTTCCTTTTTTTTTTTCCTCTGCATTTCATGTCTTTTCTTCCCCCTCCTTCCCCCTTTTCCTGGTACTTTGCCCAGGGAGTTTGGGTTGTAAATTTATTGTTTTCATTCCACACTAGAAGTTTCATTCAGCACCACACCATGGTCATCAGAGCCCTCCACTCTGCATTTCCTCCATAGCGTAGCACCGAATTCTTGCCACGGTGCTGTGAGCCAGAAGCGACGAGTAAGCCTATTTGGCCGGTCAGGAAGAGGAAGCACAGAGAGGTCAAATCCCTTGCCAACATCCCACAGCAGTAGGTTACAAGCTGGGATCTCAGGGTCAAGTCCTGAGTTGGCTTATATTGAAAGTCCTCGAAACATGGAGTCCCCTTCACGGGTGCCATCATTGGATGTAGGGTAGGGCTTCTGTGGGAAGCAGAGTGGCTGGGGGAGCTCTCGGTGCTGGAATGCAGAGTCCAGGCACAAGGCCTTAGCACCAATGTCTACAGATGGTTAGCGCCCAGCCCCGTCTGACGCCCAGGTGCTCACAAGTGCTCACAGCTCACCGACCGCAGCCTTGGGAAGGGCGGGCTCTTCCACACCTCTCCTCATGCCCCTTTCATTTGGCTCAGTCACCCGGACCACTGCCTCAAATTCAGTCTCAAGCAGAGACCTAGCACCCTCCCTGCCTTCCCAGGGCCAGAAGCAGGGCTGTCACAGGGGGACAGGAGTGGGTCACCCACCCCTGCCCAGCCACCTGGGATGAGGACAGTGAGATTCACCCCGAGTCACCAGGTAGACTGAGATGTGAACCCCAAGCCCAGCTGCAGCATGGCTCCCCTGTCGCCCCCAGTTCCCGCTGTACTGGTTCAGCGTGCCGGCTATCCTGAAGGGCTGGATGGACAGGGTGCTATGCCAAGGCTTCGCCTTCGACCTCCCGGGGTTCTACGACTCCGGCTTTCTGAAGGTACGTGCTCCGGGGAAGGGTAGGGATCACTGCAGTGGGGAGCAGGGGCATCTCCCCAGTTACGTCGCTGATTGTGTACACGTGGGAGGGGTGGGGGAGAGAAGGCACCCCCAGTGAGGTGTACTCACACCGCACTTCCTCCCCCACTTCTCCGTCCTGTGGGGGTTTGGGGCATACAACGCATGTGCCCAGCATGTTATCCAAGACTCTGGGGCTGGGACTTGAGCCGTGGTCAGCCACGTGGGATCCCGCTCCCTTAACCATTGGGCTGCGGGGCCAGCCCTGCCTTTTTTTTCCCAGCAGTATTGACTGAGCACCTGTTATGTACAAAATACCGTGTCCTGTACACAGACGTGAAAAGCATCATTTCTGAAGTCATGGAATTGTTTCTTTTCTTTCTTTCTTTCTTTCTTTCTTTTTTTTTTTTTTTGAGAGGTTTTTGGCTATAGGGCATGCACGCTTGCCAGAAAGACAGAGAGAAACAGAGAGACAGAAAGTGAGAAATCACCCCCCAGGGGGGATGGCCACAATCCCTTCTCCTCCATTCTCCTCTCGGGATCTTGGGCGCACACGTGCCTGGCGTGAGTTTAAGCCACCAGGTTCGGGACTTGAACTGTAGTTGACTACATGGGAGTTCAGCGACATAGCCATTACGCTAACTGCTGGTCCCAGGAATTGTTTCTTTTTAAATATATCTTTTTAATTTGTTTAAGTTTGTTTATTTCTTCCGTGAGTAGGAGAGAGAGAGAAGCACCCTTACCAGGGTCTCACCGCTACCCCTCCAGGCTTTCCCAGCCATCCAGGGTCACGGTGCACACACCTGGTGTGTACAGGTTCACCCAGGAACCAAACGCTGATCCTTCCTGTGGCTTCCAGGGTTACAGAGCTTTGAGCCCACTGTGCCCCTGAGGCCAAGCCTGTAGTCACAGCCTTTTGTTTCCAGGGGAGACAGGTGTATCCGCAGCAGTGGCAGAGAACGGGCTGGGGTGGGTGGCAGCTGGAGGGTGCAGTGGACAACTTGACATGGGCACCTGGCCTCAGCCTCGGCTCCAGAGAGGGCCTCGATCCATGGTGTAGAGTCCAGCCTCGCCTTGCGCCGGCTTTGTCTGAGTTCATGCCTGTGGGTGAAACAACACACCTGGTTGCTATGAAATGATTTTTTTCTTTTTTTAGAGAGGTTTTTTTCTTTTTTTTTTTTTTGTTTTGTTTTTTGTTTGTTTGTTTGCTTGTTTGGCTATAGGGCGCGAGTGTTCACCAAAAAGACAGACAGAGACAAGAAATCACCCCCCAGGGGTGGCCATGCCACAGTCCCTACTCCATTCTCCTCTCGGGATCTTGGGTATGCACGCATACGTGCCTGGTGTGAGTTTAAGCCACAGGGTCCAGGACTCGAACTACATGGTCGACTACATGGGAGTCCAGAGCCATAGCCATTACGCCAACTGCTGGTCCTGCTATGAAATGATTTTATTGAATTCTTTTTTGTTTGGAGAGGTTTTTGTTGTAGGGAGCGTGCGCTAGCCAGAGAAACAGAGAGAGACAGAGAGACAGAAAGTGAGAAATCACCCCCCAGGGGGGATGGCCACGCCACAATCCCTTCTCCATTCTCCTCTCAGGATCTTGGGCATGCACGCACATGTGCCTGGCTTGAGTTTAAGCCACCAGGTCTGGGACTTGATCCTCAGGGGACTACATGGGGGTCCAGCAACATAGCCATTAAGCCAACTGCTGGTCCCACGATTTTTTGAATTCTAAAAGCCTGAGAATTAAGTGCATATGAGAAAAACAGACCAAGTGACCAAAAGCTTTCTTGGACCGCAAATGACACCCCCTCTTCCTGGGGGCTCCTCCACACTGTGGTCAGCACTTCAGTCACGTCCATCCGCCATCGCATCACGGAGCCCCAGTGTCCCTCTGAGGTCTGGGCGTGTTCGAGCTTTCACGTTCACTTGGTCTCCTTGCTCTGATCAGCCGTGAGTTGTCACCACTGGTGGGCTGGCCGGAGATGAGAGTGGTATCACACCTGTCCCCCCCGGGAGGGGCCTGAACTCACATCCTGGAGCCAGGAACCTTGTAAAGGAGTCACATTAGCCTTCCCTTCCTCTTCTGGAGCCCACCCCAATGTGTTTGCCGTCTCTCCCGCAGGGAAAGTTGGCCCTCCTGTCGTTGACCACAGGGGGCACCGCTGAGATGTACAGCAAAGCCGGAGTCAGCGGGGACTTCCGGTACTTCCTGTGGCCGCTCCAGGTAAGCAGGCCCCCAGGGCTTCCTCTGCACTGGGCCACCCCACACACACACGTGTATACACACACACACACACCCTCTGCGCTGGGCCACCCCACACGCACACGTGTACACAAGCACACACACCCACACCCCAGTTTGACTCCACCTGGATACACAAAATGGTAACATCTTGCCCTTTTTATTTGTTCTTGGTTTTTGCTATAGGGCACGTGCACTTTCAGGAGAGAGACAGAGAGAGAAAGTGAGAAATTACCCCCCAGAGGGATTGCATCCCGCGCTGCAGTCCCCTTCCCTCCATTCTCCTGTAAGGATTCTGGGCATGTACCCACACGCGCCCAGCATGTTATTCAAGCCACTGGGTCTAGGACTTGAACCACAGTTGGCCATTGGGATCCATCACCTTAACCACCACACCACCCGTTGGCCCAGTCCTTTTCAATTTTTATTCTTATGGCTTCCGGTATCATTTGGAAGCTAAAGCCAAACCTGGTTAGCCTGACATCTGCCTGATTAGCTGTGTGTGAGAGACGGGCTTAGGGAGGCTCAGAGGTGCCAGTGTGGACTGTCCACACCCCTCAGGTAGTACCAGATGAAGGCTCATGACCTTTGGAGTCTGACCAGAGGCACTCGAGGTCCTATATTCCAGTCACTCTCACACTGGCTTTTGCCAGCTCTCTGTCACCCCACTGCCACCACACACAACACCTAGGAACCAGCCTGTGCCCTCTTCCAGTACCCAGGAATCGGGGCTTCCCATCTGTCCAGCACCAGGTCCCTCCGCGGCCTCCTTCCCAGTGGACCCGTGTTGCTTGTGCATGCACCCCTGGGCCCGAGGGGTAGCCATCTGCCAAGGGGAAGGCCATGGGCAGAGGAGGTGCAAGTGGGTCGGAGCCTCCACGTGGGGAATGTCCCCTAAGAGGGACAGAGCTGGGGGCAGGGAGGGGAGGGAGCAGGCTCCAGGGCAGGGACTGCAAAACCTAACCAGGTCTTCAGCCCTTCTAGGTTGTTAGGGAGGGGCTTGGTGATTCGGAGTTCACTAGGATGTAGGGACTGTCCCTCTTCCTTGGTTCCTCTCCGGGTTCACGGTCCTTGCTCATCTGTCTTTTGGGGGTTGGGTTCTTTTTTGCATTTATTTATTAATGTTCTTTATATATCAACGAAATTAATCCTTTTGTGTCTTTACAAAACATTGAGCATTTTCTTTGTCTAGATGGTGCACCTTTCTTTCTTTCTTTCTTTCTTTCTTTATTTAGAAGAGGTTTTTGCTGTAGGGTGCATGCACTCACCTGAAAGACAGAGAGAGACAGAAAGCAAAAAATCATGCCCCAGTGGGGGGTGGCTACACCATAGTCCCTTCTCCTCTATTCTCCTCTTCAGATCTTGGGCACGCATGCACACGCGCCCAGCGTGAGTTTAAGCCACCAGGTCCAGGACTCGTACTGCGGTCGACTACGTGGGAGTCCAGCGATGTAGCCATTATGCCATCTGCTGGTCCTGGTGTACCTTTATTTTTAAGTCCATTCCTTGTCTTTGTTGTTGTTCACTGTTATAGATAGAACTTCATCTTCAGTGACATCTTTTAAAAGTTTTCTGTATTTACAAAGATTGTTCATTTCTGATTACTTTTTCACCCAGACCATTTGCTGATACCTGCTACTGGTCATAATTGTTTATCAGCTGGTTTGCAGCCATAAAGCCACGCTGTCTAAGGAACCAATGTAACAATGTGGAAAGTGGTGTGCGGTCATCTGCTGCTGGCGAGGCAGCCAGGGCGAGGGTGGGGGTCTCAAGAGCAGTGACTCAGGACTGAGTGTGATAGTTCTGGGGGGAAAAAGCAGTTGTCCTCTTTTTTTTCTTTTTAATAACAATTTTATTGTAATTTCTACTTTATTTATAATAGTTGTGTATCTTTCTAGGCTATAGTGTGATTTTTCAAAACGTGTTTGAAACGAGAACCTAGTGGTTCCAATCGGTGGCGTTCCACTGGAGGAATGATCATTCACAGCCTCAACTTCCTTCTCCACAGGACAACTGATCTCTTGTGTCACTAGCCAAGCTTCAATTCTTCTTGGTTCTTAAAAACTTTTACTTTTTTTTCAGTTTGCAAAAGGACGTATTATCACAAGAAATGAAACAATGTGAACAATAAAAAAAAAGAAAGTTAATTCTCTGAATCCTCTTGCAGAAATAATCACTTCTAATAATTTTATTCATTTTCTTATACCCACATTTAATCTTAGATACAGAATTTTTTTATTAGGTTTGTTATTCTTTTACCTAAATCGTATACACAAATCCTGCTTTAAATTTGTTCTTTTCAGGCCAGTCTTGTAGCTTAATAGTTAAGGGAGCTGGAAGCCATGTTGCCAATTGCATAGTTCCTGTCCTGGGGCCCAGTGGCTTGGAAAACCATGCTGGGCACATGTGTGTATACCTAAAATCCCAACAAGATAGAGAATTGGAGACGGAATTGCAGTGCAACCACACCCCATGGCGGGATGCTTTCTCTCTCCTCCTCTGTCTCTGTTTCTCCATCTTTCTGTTGAACACACATACCCTCTAACAATGAAAAAAAAAATGTCATTTTCATTTAAGAAATATCTTGGAACATTATAGTGGCACATTATAGCTAGAATAACCTCATTCAAGAATACTCCATAGTATAAATGTATCACAACTTGCCTAGTCATTCAGAATTGTAGTGTTTAGTGTGTGAATCAGGAGCAAAGATTACAGATAATCTCAGTTCTAAAAATAGAGTTTGGAAATTCCATCTGCCCCAAGTTTTTCACCTGATTTACAAAGCCCCACATCCTAAGACTATAGATGTTGCCAGAAAACAGATGGCCGAAGGAAGAAAACACAGCACCCTGGAGAAGTAGGAGAACTTTTTTTTTTAAGTTTTATTTCTTTTTATTTCTATTTCTTTTATACATTCAATCATGTTACTTAGCTTACAAAGGGAATATTCCAACCTGATATTATGCTAGCGGACGGGGAGGAGTTTTCCCCCCTCCCCCCCAGGGAGAGCTTCAGCAGGCTAAGGGTATCCTATCAGGAAGAAGAAGCTCAAAGTTTAAAGAAGAAAGGATCAGATAAGGGTGTCTGGCTTTTTAAGGTTGCTTTTATCACTTCAAAGGGGGAAAGGCAGAGACTTAGCAGAGACCTGGGAAATGTTCATAATTACTGGCCTTGGGCTATTGTGAGTTCCCCACTTCTCCACACCATGAAGAGGTGTGGTCAGGAGAGGCCTGCTGTGGGCCTCAGTACAGCCACCCACGTCATAGGGACTTGCAGTTATTTTCATGTATCTTGTTGAAATAAGATTTTTTTTTTTTTTTGGAGAGATTTTCGCTATAGGGCGCGTGCGCTCACCAGACAGACAGAGAGAGACATAGAGACAGAAAGCGAGAAATCACCCCCCAGGGGGGATGGTCACGCCGCAATCCCTTCTCCTCCATTCTCCTCTCGGGATCTTGGGCACGCACGCACACGCGCCCGGCGTGAGTTCTAAGCCACCGGGTCCGGGACACGAACCGCGGTCGACTACATGGGAGTCCAGCGACATAGCCATTACGCTAACTGCTGGTTCCCGAAATAAGGTTTTTTTGAAGGTTCATTTCAAAGCATTTCCCCCCGTAATCACTGACCGGAATGGTGCATGAAAGGTGTGGTTTCTGATCAGTTCCTTTTTTCCCTCGTGGCTTTAGCATGGCGCCTTGCACTTCTGTGGATTTCAAGTCCTCTCCCCTCAGATCAGTTTTGCTCCTGAGACCGCGTCAGAAGAGGAAAGAAAAGGGATGGTGGCTTCGTGGGCTCAGCGCCTGAAGACCATCTGGAAGGAAGAGCCCATCCACTGCACATCCCCTTGGTACTTTGGGCAGTAATGCTCGGTCCACATGCACATCCCACGAGCAACGCTAGCAGACCCAAGCACACGCAATGGGAAGGTGGGGCCATCACAAGATAGCATCGCAGCTGAGCAAACTGGGGACTGTTAATGATGTACATGAATGAGTACCTTCCAATCAAATATTCCAACGATAAGCTAGTCATGTTGAATTCTCTCCTGACCAATCGTTACTCACCCACGTGATTTCCTTAATACACACTGCCCAATTTACAGTGATTTAGCTTAGGATTTCTCAGTCTTATGGTGTGCTTATTGGTATGGAACCCCATCATAAGTCAAGGAGCTTCTGGACTTCTAATAGTTTTGACTTAAAACTTTTCAACTTTTTGATGGGTTTACCAGGGTATTAAATGCATTTTTGACTTACGTGATTTATGACTCGATTTATTGGGAAATAACCCTATCGGAAGTAGGGGAGTATCCATATCTATCTAATATCTTCCTATCTCCCCTATGTTCAAACTTCATGACAGTTTTTCTTTCAGAGAGTCCTCTGGGCATGGAGCTGGGTTGTTAGGGTTTTTTGGTTTGTTTGCTTTTAGTTCATGACTCAGCTTGAGGGTTTTTGTTTTTTCATAGGGAAGTTTAATCTATTCATAACTATTGTTTTAATGCTGTATTTGGACATATTTCTTCCATCTTCTTTATTTTGAACTTGCATTATGACTCCGATATTTTTTTGGAGAGGTTTTTGCTATAGGGCGTGTGTGCTTGCCAGAGAGACAGAGACAGAGAGACAGAAAGCGAGAAATCACCCCCCAAAGGGGATGACCACGCTGCAATCCCTTCTCCTCCATTCTCCTCTCAGGATCTTGGGCACACATGCACACGCGCCTGGCGTAGTTTAAGCCACCAGATCCGGGACTCGAACTGTGGTCGACTACATGGGAGTCCAGCGATATAGCCATTACGCCAACTGCTGATCCCAACTCTGATATTTTAATTGAAGAGCCAGTATATGTAAAATCAGTTAAGTGCTGTGACAATGAAAATTTCAAGGCATTAGTGTGATGGCATCCACGGCCGTGCACACCTTCCAGTAATGACCCTGAAGCGTAAACACCTACAGATGAAGGAATCTCCCAAGAAACAAGTTTAAAGGCTTGGATATCACCATTATCGTATCATCATCATCTTCCTCATTGCCCTCACTCCTGAGACAGAGCTGCTACCTGTGTTCAAGGGTCCTCCTTCCTTAAACCTGCCAACACCACCCACTGACGGCCTCTCCTTACTCCAACAGCTTCTCACTGGAACCATCCCTGTCGCCCTGCCTCCTGTCCGAATTGTTATTGTCGTACTGCTTTTCATCTACATGTTCTTCATCTTCCTTTTCACCTACATCATTGTCCTCCTCCTCTTCAGCAGCTTCTAAATATTTTTTCATCCGTATTTTTTAATTCTCTTTTTCATCTGACTCATCAAAAGCTTTTCTTTTCTTTTCTTTTTTTTTTTTTTAACCATAGGGTATATGTGCTCACTGAAGAGAGACAGAGGCAGAGAGGAAAAGTGAGAAATTACCCCCCGATGGGGGGGATGACTGTGCTGTCATCCCCTCTCCTCCAGTCTCCTCTCAGGATTTTGGGCATGCACATACACACTCCTAGCATGATTTTCAAGCCACCAGGTCTAGGGCTCAAACTGGTTGGCCATGTGAGAGTCCAGCACCTTAATCACCATACCACTTGCTGGCCCCTCATTAAAAGCTTTTTCAGGGCCAGCTGGTAGCATGATAGTCAACGTCATTGGATTCCACATGGCCAACTGTGCAGTTCAACTCCTGGACCCAGTGGCTTAAACACTCCCAGCACATGTGTGTGCATGCTCCAAATCCTGAAAGGAGAGAGAAATGGAGAAGAAGGGATTGAGGCATGACTTCCTCACTTTCCTTCTATCTCTCTGATGAGCGCAAGTACCCTCTGGGCTTTTTTGTTTTAATTTTTAAAATCTTTTCATATGTATATCTTCTTCCAAATCTCCACACTGCCCTGAACCTCCCTCATCAAACACTTTCTTGGAGCCACTATCTTCACCAACAGCTGGCCCCGGGCCTTAAATTCTTTCATTCAGAGACCTCTCACAGTAATGCCAAAGTAGAAGGTGGAGGGGCCGGCAGGTGGCATGGTGGTTAAGGGCACTGGACCTGGCAACTTTTCTCACTTTCCCTCTCTGTCACTCTATCCTTCTCTGGTCAAATTAAAATAAAAAAATTAAATTAAATTAAAAATTAGAAGGTGGCTAGCATCTCCACAATCATGTCTGGAGGCTAATCAGACACAAACACATTCATGTTTCTGTGTTCTGCAACAGGAAGCCTTTTTCCTTTCCTCCTTTCAGAATCACTGCGTGGGAGTGTTTCCTTGTAGAGGTTTCTCAGCAAGGAAATCTTGCCACCTTGCAGATTTGCAATGGAGCAATGCACCATCATCGAGAATATGTAATTGGCCTGTCATGTAGCTGTGAAATTTTCTTTTTTTTAATTTTATTTATTCATTTATTTATTTTCATTTGACCTGAGAGAGACACAGGGACAGAGAAGGAAAGTGAGAAAGCAAGACACCTATTTAAGGACTTGAACTGTGGTCAGCCACGTGGGAGTGTCCAGCACCTTAACCACCATGCCACCTGCAATGATCTCGGGAAACCACACCTTCTTATCTAGGGGCATCGGCCAGCAGCTGCCAGGAAGACTGGTTTCTTTCACGGGATTCCTCCGGGGGCCTCTGTCCTTGGTGTCTCTGCAGGATTGTTGCATTTGCAGCAGCTCTTCAAATGCATCCTCCTAGCCTAGCCAGTATTTCGCGTGTTTTCTTTCCGCTCGTCTTCCTGGCCTCTACGCCTCCAATCAAGGTCAAGGAAGGCCTGTCCTCTTTGCATTTTCACTCGCCCTGCTTGCTTTTGTGGTAGTGCTTCCTGAGCATGCCCTGCCCTGCTGATTTTTGGTTTGTTTGTGGGGGTTTTTTTAAGTGGCTTATGTTTCCATAAAAGAAGTGTCAGGACTTTCGGAGAAGTTCCAGCAGCTCAGAGGGGTGTGTAGAGCCCAGAGGAGAAGGGAGTAAGTGCAGCCTCAAAGGAAGGAAAAGAAGACCCCTAGAATGGAGACCAAATGGAGATACTGCGGGGGAACGCATGGCATATGACCCGTTCACTGGTGGGGATGGTGCGGGAATCGTGGGACCACCTAGTCCAATTCTAGGCAACCTTCCATCTGACAGATGTGTGCTCAGGTTATTTTGTTTTTCCTCTACTGAAAAATACTACACCGGACAAGGCTAGTGGGCTTGAGATCCCTTGGGTTCCACCCCTACAAGGCGCTTGCATGGCACGGTATTAATTGGCTCAGAACTGCTGAGATCAACCCAGCAGTAAACAGCAAGAGCTCTGAACACAGACCTTTGGACTCTGCAGGGGAGTTCACAGGGAGAGAAAGAGAAAACTAAGCTGGGCCCCAGCTCGACACAGACCCAATGTTTTGTGGGTCAGAGATTCTTTTGCAGTGTCTGGTGAGGTTGACAACTCTGCTGAGACTTTCATTCCCTGCTCTGTGGCAGACAGGATATGCTGAAAAGCCCTCCTGCAGCAAAACTTCTAGATGACTGATAATGACCACAAACACACTTCGTTCCTCGCGTTTGTCACTTTCAGTCGACACATGGTGGTACGTACGTAGGGGGTACGGTGTGATTTTTTTTTCAGTACATGCGTACAACGTGTAGTGATCAAATCAGAACAGTAACCGCATTCTTCATCTCCAACATTCACCATTCCTTTGTGCTGTGAGCATGCAATGTCAAATTCTAGTTATTTAAACATATACAGCAATGGGACCGGCAGATGACATGGTGGATAAAGCACAGGATTCCCACATGGTTGACTTCATAGTTCAAGTCCCGGACTTGGTGGGTTGAAAATCACACCAGGGATGGGACCAGCAGGTGGCATGGTGGTTAAGGTGCTGGATATTCCCACATGGCCAACCACAGCTCGAGTCCCAGACCTGGTGGCTTGCTTTCTCACTTTCCCTTTCTCTCGCTCTCTGTGTCTCTCTCTGGTCAAATTAAAATAAATGAATGGGTGCTCGACTTCTTAAAAAAGAAAAAGAAAATCACACCAGGAGGGCTGGCAGGTGGTATGGTGGTTAAGGGTGCTCGACTTCCCCATGGCTGACTGCTTGCTGTTTGAGTCCTAGACCTGGCAACTTGCTTTCTCACTTTCTTTCTCTTTCCTCTCTCTCTCTGTCCCTCTCTGGTCAAATTTAAATAAATAAATAAATAAATAAATAAATAAATAAAGTTAAATAAAATATTTTTTTTAAAAAAAGTTAAAAAGAAAAAAAGAAGATCACACCAGGCGCAGTGTACCTGCCCAAAATCCAAGGAGGAGAACAGAGAAGAAGGGATTGCAGTGTGGCCATTCCCCCTGGGAGTCATTTCTCACTTTCTCTCTCTCTCTGTCTCTCGCCAGCAAGCACACGGGCCCTATGACAAAAACCTAAAATTAAAAACTACTATTACTCGACTGTGCTCTAATACCCTTGAACTCATTCTTCTTGCCTAACTGTAATTTTATAGCTGTTAACCAAGCTCTCCCTAACCTTCCCTTCCATCTATGTACATCCTTCCACTCCCTACTTCTATACTATCACATTTTTAGTTCCTACAAATGAGTGAAAATATGCAGTATTTGTCAATCTGACCCGGCCGTTGTCAGAAGAAGACACACAAATGGTCAAGAAGAATTGAAAAATGCTCTTCACTGACCACCAGGGAAATGTACATCAAAACCACAATAAGGAATTACCTTTTATCCCAGTTAAGACAGCTATTACAAAAACAAAGGCCGACAAGTGCTGGTGAAGATGCAGAGAAAGGGACATTTCGTGCACTGTTAGACTGTAAATTAATACAGCAGTGATAGAAAACAATAAACTGGATTCCTCGCTAAACTAAAGATAGAACTGCCATATGGTCCAGTAATCCCCATCACTGGGTAAATGCACAAAGGAAAGAGAATCCGTGTGTCAAAGATAGAGCTGCACTTCCATGCTGAATTGCGAATTGTAAATTGCATCACTATTGGAGCCAGCAGGTGGCATGGTGGTTAGGGCACTGGACTCCCATATGGTCAGTTGTGGTTCAAACCCTGCACCTGGTGGCTTGCTTTCTCATTCTCTCTCTCTCTCTCTCTCTCTCTCTCTCTCTCTCTGTGTGTGTGTGTGTGTGTGTGTGTGTGTGTGTTTGTCTGATAAACACATATGCTCTATAGAAAATTAAAAATAATTATAATAATAAAGCTAAATAATTTTAAAAATTTTATCACTGTTTTCAATGGTCACAATATGGAATCAGTCTAAATGTCCATAAATAAGAGT